TCTTTTGGTATTTTGTCTAAAAAAGACAGTATTCACTCAGTATTCAAATCCCTTTAAACTGCCGTTTGAAAAGTATTTATTCTACTTTGCTTTTTGCTCCAAGATCACCAATTTAAGGGTTTCGCTAATATTTTTCACTACGTGTTCCTTGGACCTCCTTATCGGACAAGGCTTTGCAGCTTTGAAAAGCTTCTTTAGAATACTAGCTGAAGTTTGGCGGTACCATGATAATAATCTGTCTCATTAGTTCATTGACAGTGTTTATTGATTGTTTATTCTTATGAATACCAGTCTCCCAATAATTCTCTTTCTCACTTGAAAGCAACCTGTTCCAAAATTTTGACTATTTTTCAGTCGAAGTTGTGATTAGTTTGATCGACGAGTATGGAGAATGGATGATTTCATAAAGTGACATTTCACTATCATATGATAGTCAGTAATGTGTTGTCCATCAGGACAATTGAGTCGAACTGAATTTTCAACATAGAACTGTGCACATATTAAGGTGTACAGAAGCTACAATAAACTGATATGTGCAGGACAGAACAATTACATGAAGAATAGTGAGAATTTAATGAATTAGTAAGATCACAAAGAGTGAAAATACGCGTGATATTGAAATTGATTTCCAGCCATTTGATAGATGCTCATCAGATATTGGGTGTTTTATATTTAGTTATTTAAAACACAGAACCTACTACAATATGGCACCAAGAAGATGCGCCACACAATAATAATAAAAGAACATATGAAAAAAGCAATTATATTTGACAAGAACAAACAGAATTCGTCAAATTATTGTTAGAAAGGGAAGAAAGAAGGAAACTGCAGCACGTTCGCCATTGATTACGATTCTTGGCCATATCCGATAACGTTTCGAGTCACCGATTCGAGCTACCTCTCGCACTCCAACCAGGGAGTCGTGATGCACCAACCTACTACAAATCTTCTTTATCCCACGACGCCACGTTATGGGCTGACCACCTCTCCGCTTTTCCATCCCGTCCCAGGGCTAGCGAACAGAGACCGGTACTGAAACATCTAGGATGACATTCGTAGCACATGTCCGAGCTACCGAAGGCGGTGTTTTTAGATGACGACGCTCAACGAATGGTGACCTCTACCATGCACAAACACACGCTGCCTGGCCTCAGAATTACTCACACGATGATGTTACCGGACGCAAGTAATTTTGTGGAGACAGTCATGATATAATACGCAGAGTCGCCGCACATCCTCAACTCGGAGGGACCAGGTTTCGCAGGAGCAGGGATAGACAGCACGCACCGAAGCATTGTAAACCTAACCTTTGACAGCTAGGTTAACGTTATGACGGCGCCAAAGGTGGGTAAAGTTGAGGTAAGCAGCCTTAGCTTTCATGACACAGTTGGAAATTCCGTCCGCCACACCTCCTCCAACACTTACATAACTACCCAGATAAACGAACTTATCGACAACTTCAAGCGGTTCATCTGCAGCAAGAGTGAGTGCAGGTACACGTCTCTGCCAATCTTGTAACAGTACGTTGCACTTAGACGGAGTAAAGCATACACCAAACTTAAAGACATTGCTAATGGAAGTATCCTTAACTGAACTTAACGACTTAGTAATCGACTTGTTACCAGGGAATAGTCTTATGGACTTAGAATACGCAGACGACATAGTCCTGTTAGGGGAGGATGCTGACAAAATGCAGAGTCTTCTGAACACCTTGAGCAGCAATCTTCGTATGTTTGGCATGCGATTCGCCCCTGTAAAATGTAAGATGCTTCTACAGGACTGGACTACGTCAACTCCTAGCTTAGTGATAGGGAGTGAAGTGATAGAACATGTTGACCACTTCACCTATTTGGGAAGTTGTATCAGCACCAACGGATTGATTGGTGACGAAATCTCAGCACGGATCCAAAAAGCTCGAGCTGCTTTCGCCAACTTACACCATCTCTGGCGTAGGCGTGACATCCGGCTATCAACCAAGGGACCTGTGTTCTGCTCAGCAGTTCGCTCCGTCCTTCTCTGTGGCTCTGAAGCATGGCCAATACGAGTTGAAGACATGAAAAGGTTGTCTGTTTTTGATCATAGATGTCTACGATCTCTTTCCCACGTTAGGTAGTATAATAAGGTAAGTAATGTTGACGTTAGGCGTAGAGTGTTGGGCAAAGAGGGAAAATCAATCGAAGAGGCTGTAAAGTTACATAGATTGAGATGGCTAGGTCACGTGGTGCGCATGCCTAACCATCGCCTCCCCCACCCCGACGGGCATTACTAGCTGATATAGGTGCAGGTTGGAAAAGAGCTAGCTAGTGGTGGCCAAACAAAAACATGGCATCAATCCATGAAATCCTTGACAGTTCAACTGAGTCAGGGAGGGAGATGCAGACTTCCGGGTTGGGGCCCTCGGGACTCTAAGAATCAATGGCTGGAGACACTAGGTGACATGGCTCGAAATCGTTGTCAATGGCGCAGATGTAAACAGTCTCTGTAATCTTTCATATCCTTTTCTACCATTAGTCATTCTGTTTTAGCAACTGAAGAAGGGTGAACATGTGATCAATGCATCCACGGCCTGAACGAAACCCAGCCTGCTCTTTGCGAATCAACTCCTCACATGTGTTTTGGACAGCCTCCGAAACAAGACAGTAGATAATATTTTAGACGCAACTGGTAACAAAATGATAACCCAATGGTTGTTGCATGTGTTACGTTGACCCATTTTAAAGACGGGGACGATGATGGCTTCATTCCATATTGATGGCACATCCTCAGTCTCCTATACTTTCCTGAAAAACAGGTCAAAGCCATGACGAGAATCTCACCACCATCTTTGTACAGGGCCGGAGGTAAATTTTCTGGACCAGGTGCCTTATGGCGCATCAACACTTGGAGTTCCTTTCGGACTTCCACTCCGATTAGTGGTTCGGTAATGACCGACCAAGGAGCACTGTAGCTGATGACGGTGGATGCTGGCGCTGATGGCCAGCTCAAGTGTTTATCGAAGTGCTCTGTCCAGCGTTCTAGGCGTCTTTTCAGGCTAGTAATTGGCGTGCCACCTGCCTCGAAGACTATCTACCAGACACCCTGTTTCTTGCTACCGGTGGCTTGGATGAGCTGGAACGGCTTCCGACTGTTGTTAGATGCAGCTGATAACTCCATCTCCCACACACGTTCTGACCACTAGGCTTTGCTGTCCTTACGTAGACACTGTTTAATCTTGCAAGTAGGTGCCTTTAGCATATTGTTGTACTCGCTGCCTTCTAGAATGGACTGGCGTTCATCCAAGAGCTGTAAGGAACTCGAAGAAACCCAGTGGTTTTTAGTGCATCATTCTTTTAAGCCACAAGCGGCTTCACTCGCCATTTCATGGCGCCTTGCAGATGTAGCTAATGTTCATCTATACTACTCAGAGGGTTGCTAGCAAGCTCTGACTGTAACAGCCTGGTATTTTAAAGAAGTAGAAGGTGCCACCAGTTTGCTCACATCAGCATGCAGATGACGCCATTTATGGATCCCACCAAATCGCAAAACGATTATAGCATGATTGGAGTTCAGACATGTGGTTCAGAAGAAGCGACAGTGCTGTATGCACCCTCACCATCGGGAACTGACAGCGATATGATCAATCTGACTCCAGGCCTGATTGGCAGAGGGAGGACGCCAGGTAGCGCTATGGTGATGGCTGTGTCGGAAGTTGGTGCTGGATAGAAACAGGTTGTAATCTGCTCACAGCTGCGAGAGATGGGCGCCATTATCTGACCTGTGACGTTGTAAACCCCTGGACGATTCCCCTCTGAGCTTAGACGCCCGACCTGTGCATTCAAGTCCCCAGCCAGCACTACGATATCTCTCTGACGCACCTGTTCCAGGAAATAGCTCATTTGATAGTAAAACTCACCCTTAATTGCATCCGGGCTGCAATCCGTAGGTGCATAGACAGAGCCTACCGCTTCTTACTCTCACATAACCTTCCTCACGGCCTCATAGCACATAAATGACTGTTAATGGAGATCCAGTAGAGTAATGCAGCTTCGTCTTTAACTCTTATTGTGACACCGACACTAGATACGCCGGATGTCAACGCTACAGGGTCCCCGGATAAGTACAGGTGGTACATACTATTCGAAATTTCAGATGGAGAAGACAATCGAAGAGCTTTACTGGGGTTTTGAATGCGGGCCTCTGAAATGCAGCAGACATCGATAGCGAGGCTTTCCAATGTTCTTACCAAACCTGCCTGTTGTCCAATTTGTATCAGTGTCCGAACATTGTAGGCTGCAGGCTTGAACGCGGCACGAGGTTTCAGGATATCGGTATTTGGTGTCGCACTGGGGTCAGCCATTTTTGAGGTTACTCACTGACATATTGAAACGACACAGATAAGCTGAGAATTTAGACAAAGGCGAAAGGCTGACGAAAATGAAGTCACTAAGGACAGTAAAAGTAAGACACAGGATGTATAAAAATAAAAGTAAGGCTGGAAAGAAATGTGTCACTGGAAAGATTATTAGTGTTCGAGAGCACCGTAAAGGGCGTACGATTAGTTTAACCGATGGTTCGTTGTTTCATTTCTTCCCTTTTTGATGACCCTAACCAAGTAGTCTAGACCTACGTGACTCAAACCAACAGGTAAAAACTTCATGTATTGGCGTCATGTTTTAGTCTGAAAACCTCCGACTCTTTTACAACCTAATCCTATATCAGTTGAATTATTTAATATATTGGTTTTATACACCATTTTTGGTCTTTCTGCCTTGTCTGTTGAAGAAGGTTGAAACATCAAAAGCTATAGATTGCAATAGTTAATGATATATTAGGTTAAAGATTTTTTGCAAAGAATGACAAGAGGAAAAAATATATCCCCAACTTCGTTCTCATTATAGTATTTCTAATTACTTTATGTATTAGTGTAATTCGAGTTCTAAAACAGTTAACCAAATGAACAACAAAACTCAAGTAATTCAAATAATTTAGAAAAACTACTAAAAAAAACTGTACTAACTTACACGACTTGGCAAACCACTATCCATAGTTGGGTCGTAATCAAAAAGTGCACGTACATGCATTGTTTTCTTGTTAGTTGTAGTGAGACGTCGTGGACTAGATGGTCTATCATGGAATACTACACTTGGGCAATCAGATGAAGGCACTAATGAAAAATTATTCATAAATGAATCAGATGAATTACTTAAATGTGTCATTTTGTTCTGTGAAGTATCCTCTGTAATTGTATTCACACCATTATATTTTGTGTTTGAATATGATGCTATATTGTGTTGTGAAGTGGGAATAGGATTTGAAGACGAGTAGGAAATCTCCATTGCTTAACAGATGATAAATTTTTACCAGAATTATGCAAAATATGGTGATGATGACGACGACGACAACAATAACAACAGCATGGAGATTCGCTTCCTATCTCAGCTATCAAATGCACCAATTCAATCCAACTAAAAAATGTTAGAAAAAAATCAATTTACAATAAATTTTTAGAAGACATATAAAGCAGATAGATTTAACTGCTCCTATAGTTATTTTACTGCTTTATATAACTGTAAACGATCATACCCAATAACCACTCTTCCTAACTAGTACTTAATTCAGTGATTGGCTTGATTGTAACACACATTGACCCAAGGAAATGAGCAGATAAATGGTGAAAGAATATATACAAAACATTGCTCCTCATTTCGAGATAACTAGGTAATCCGTAAGTTGAAACACACATTATTATTTAACCGCGCCTAGAGAGTGTGTAGCTATGGAATTTCTCTGTACTTTTAATAAGAGTGAAGCAATGTGAGGAACTCTTCACAACGTATTTACTGACAGTGCCTATTCCTGATTTAGCCAGAAGTGGAATTCAGTCTGCAGAGAAAGAAATATTCTTAGGAAAATATAAACCACTAAGTAATGTCTAACCGATTCCCAAGTCATGTTAAACTATTAAATGAAAACTAGGTTGAAACATCTATGCAATGAATACATCTAATAACCCACATGCAAGGGTGATTCCTACGATATTGGCAGCTAAGCGTCAACAGATTTACATCCCTAACAGCAGTTCAGTTGTTTCTCATTCTATAATAAGTTTCTCCCCTATTGTCTATCTTTTGAAACAAAACGAGGCTATCTTCAACTTTTTTAAGCTTGGGTTAGTTATAAGGATTCACATTTACTAAATACCACAGCCAGCATCCTGAAATTACACTAAAAACTATATACAAGAACTTAAAATGCTTTTACCCGGTTTCAGATAGTCCGACTGATTGATTAAGAAACCATTGTGGCACTTCTTATAGATGTGCAACAATTCAGATTGTTACAGTTCAACATAGGGAACAGGGGTGTAATAATACGATAGAGAGGAAAACATGTATGTGGTGGAACAATTTAGTGAACACTAGTGATAAAGATTAAATACCAATGTGAACGACTGTAAGGCGTTTCAACAAGAATCTCCAGGCGTTGGTTTTTAGAATTAAGAGGACGTAAGCCAGGCGATGTACACCCTTACGTACCCCAGACCAATAGCCAAAACCAAGTTGCCAGCAAATAATACTGATATACATGTTTATGTAACGTGCACACAGGAACCAAGTGTAACTACTCAGCTGATATCACCAGGATGGTTAATCTTAACAGATCAGATTTTATACATCTGCGAATTCAAAAACCGGTCATCGCAACCATATAAGTGTAGGTTTAACAACTGTACGATCCCACTATATAGCAGTTCGTAGTCGCCCTAACACTGTTCTATTTAATGATTTTAAAGGAATTAAGCTACGTCGTGGTGTACGCCAATCTCACCATAGTAACCATCTATTCGTACAATAACTGTATCTCAGAATATAAGAATGCGGTATTTTAAGGCTGTTTGACGTCTTACAAAAATCTAGTCCTCAACTACGATCATTGTAATTTGATTTAGAGGACAAAGTAAAACGATTAAATCAGGAAGGCATGCATCTAAATTGTACTTTTTTACAATAACCCACGGAAATGACAGTCTTAATTACTCATTAAAGTTACGTTCTGATAAACACCAACCTTAGGCAAATTAGGGTAACCATTTGCAAAAATGCCCATTGACCTAAATTACTATAGTTCGAAACATTATATAAAAAGAAAACAAACAGAAACAGAACAGGATGTGACAAATATAAATCATTGAACCGACAACTACTTCGATATGATGATCGGGTATGCATAACACTATAATCCAACGACCTAACAAACCTGAAGGACTGTCCTTGAGTCTGCCTATACAAGATCTATCTTCTGGATAGAGGTAGGACGGAAAGCAGTTAGTCATAATGTAGGCTCCTTATACTACAGTGGGAGCATGCAGCAAAAGATGTACTGTTGGCTGGAACGGCTGTGAGGCGTTTCGCTTGGAAAGTTATCTGTTTCCATGATGCGGGCAATCGGAAAGAATCAACTGTCCACATAGCTGTATATACCCTCGGGCTCTCCAATAGTTACTAGATTTACTTCATCTTTCCATCGGAGTAGTAAGACTCCCCACTTCACCTAAAGAAATGCCTTCAGAGTACATTTTCTTACAACGGCCAGTATACTCGAACACTGGTAGTTGCTTGGTTGTTCAGCAGTTGGTGAAATTTAGGTTTAGATACCACCCATTTGCACAATGTGATGGGAACAAGATATAAGATTTCCTTTAAGAGTCCAGTGTACTTCATAACACCGGACTATTTTGTTGTACAGTCACTGAAGATAGAGGACTTACAGAGAACTGATGCATTCAGCCACCGTTGTTTGCGTAGTATCACCCGCGTTTGGTGGAGCTACAACGTGATCAATGTGGAATTCAAATGCGCAGCTTTAGGTAAGATGGACTAGTCAACTGAATAAGTTTGACATCTGTGTTTCACCTACTCACTGCTCCCCTCAGAATCATGTTAGCGGAAATAAAATTACACCGACACAAATCAAATGGTAACCATAAAAATACCAGTCTATTACGTTAATTTCTGTCCGATACATCTAAGGTATAGGTTATCTAACCAGAATGCCAGAGACCTTACAGTCTTTAGATAGTATAGACTAGGATGAGTTGACCTCTCCATCAAAGTAGTCACAAGCGGTTGTAATTAAAAACTCCACGATGTAGAACCTATGCACTCCACTCACAAGGCAGAGGGTTCCCAAGAATATCGAGGGAATGACATTCAATGGCACTTACAACTGAACTAGAGGACATAGGTTAACTAAAAGAAACCGAAAAAACCCGGTTTTAAACCAATAGACTTTTTGGTTTTAGGAGTTAAAGGGCGTGAATTTCGTATGCACCTACTTCGGACATTAGCGCCTAAGAAAATCCAGCTTGTTTCTCGCATGTGCGACTCGCATTTCAAGTTTTTCCTGCAGAAAACAAATGACCTTAACATCTAGACAGCCTCTCAGACGTAACACGAAATACGAAACGACAGTTTATTACGATACTCAGTCTAACGGTACACCTTTTCATTTTAACTCATGTGCTACTTCGAGAACCATGTATTCAAACACGCTTCCTATGTGCTAAAGGATTTAATTTGCCGATGAATTTTCTAACGTTTAAAGTTGTTTGAACACGGTTATCCGAAATAATTCTCTTATGCACCAAGCTGCCACGCAAATATTGTTATCACTGACGATACTTACCATCAACCGCCTATGTCAGCCTAGGTAGTATTACTAGTCCTCACGCGATAAGTATGACCATTAACCTGGTGCGTGACAAGTCTGTTCCAGGTAATTAAATTAACCATTTCCCAACGCTATAGTACGTCTGGTGAGATTCGAAATCGGGGTTCGATTGCCTGATTCAACTGTCTTAGCCATTGAGCCATATCTCTCCAGTCTACGCTTAGCTATGGTCAAGACACATGTGAATTTTTATATCACCAAAATACAAAATTACTACTTTAGTATGACAGATACAGGTACAAATAAACTATCCTTTAAAGCGAAAGTGTGACGAATGAGGCTATAATAATATATTTGTATACAGAAAAAACAACAAGCAAAAGATTAGGGAAGAACTAGATTTCAGGAAAGGAGATGAGCCTGAATCAATATGGAGTTGGTGGAGAAAGTTGATGAAATATGTCGGAGTATCCACTTGGCAATTATTCCCACGATGGAAAGGTTAGAAATGAATGCTCGTCACATTTATGTACTCTCTCTCGGAAGTGCCAATGTCAACAGTAATTTCACGACCAGGAATCCCTACACTTATCACGCCAAAAGCTTCACTAAAAAGTTAGCAGACGATTTCCTCTTTAGAAATCGGTATAACTTGTTGCTAATTTCTCCATATTTTATTTCTCCCAAATTATTTATACATCCACGAACTAAGCTTCTGCCAAAATGTGCAAAACTTGACTTACCCGGTACGAAAATCATGCTTCGTACAGTTTGCCGAATTTCAAGGTCAAGTGGCTGTTTGGATTTCCCGCCATGTAGCGTTAAAGGTCATATACCTACAAATTGTTGCAAACATTAAGGAAGCTCTTTTTATCTAACACTCAAACCTGGTTTCAATTTCTGATCGAAACTCTGGCCAAAGTTCAGTTTTAAAAGTCAGTAACACTTTACAGTGGACGCCAGTCTACTACAATATCTCACATAAGTAATTTGGTAGCAGTAAGAACAATTTATCTGTCCCATAACTGCTGTTACTACGGAAGAGTGGATCGCACCAGACGGAACACCTCGGTTCCTCTCACCCTAACATATAAGTTTCATTCACCAGATTCACAAAATGTGACCTATTCTGGCTTTCAGGGTTTCTTCATGCATTGATACTGGTTAGAGGACCATTCGAAGACAGGAATATTGGATGGCAGTTTCGTCTCATTTTGGGACTCTTCGTCAGCACGCATCAACTAAAGTTCAAATCGAGGACCTTCTGGCTACAAGGCGAGCTCGTAGACCATCAAACCACTGGGACTCGACCCAAGTGTCCATGGCTGGCTCTGTTCAGGTAGATAGTTACCTGAGTTCTAATGAAAAGTCGTGACCAGTGATGTGCAGCAGGTAAAGTGTGAGCACAAATGTACGCCTGTGACGCTCGTCAGCGGTCGCGTCATTTCATGAATTGGCAGAAGCCGGAATTCATAGACAGCTGGATCTGGTCGCAGTGGCTAAACTGTTTACTAGCTCTCCCTGAAACCAGGTCTTGGATTTGAACCTCAGTTGATGCAAACTATGAAGAGTTCCAAACTCAAAAAACAGCCATCTAATACCCCCAGGTCTTCCAATAGTCCCCTAGCCGGTGTCAGTTCATGATGAAACCCTGAAACCAATAAAA